TATACATAGAGCTACTTGCAACACAACTAATATCTACTAGGGATTGCTGCCTGCTGCTGTAATCTACTGTAGTTTACTGTTATTTGCTATAGTTTACTATAATTTACTATAGTTTACTATAATTTGCTGTAATTTACTTTATGCATTTTTTAACACTGCTAGGTAATCTCTTACTAACACCTTTAGGCATTAGCTTATTATATTTAAATAGTAGTTAAAGAAGCTAAACTAGTAGTTTTATAAGTAAAACAGCTTGTTAAGGTATTACATGTACTACATTAATCTTTGCAGTAATAGAGAGGCAGAGGCAGAGGCAGAGGCAGCGCTAGAGCTCCCTAGCACTTTAAAAAATTTCTGTAGAGGCAATAAACTACACAAGCTATAGCTCTATAACTAGGGCTTTAATACTAAAATAATTAAATTAAAAATATTAAGTAGTAGTATTAGGTATAGTGTAGCAGTATTAGGTAGTAAAAGGAACAGGTGCAACGCTAGAAAACAGAAAGTGTAAAGAAAAAAAAGATTATTATAAGATTAAAAATGTGTTAAAAGCTAGGGCTAGAACATGTTTTTTTAATTATAGCTAATAATTAACTAATTTCTAGATAACTGTTAAATAGGCTCTATGCTAGCTAGCATTTATAATTAGTAAGTATGTGTAAGGCAAAGAGAGTTGCACAGTGTACACATTACACAGAAGGGGTAGTAGGTAACTAGTGTTAATTGTTCTTCTTCTTCTAAGTCTATGTAAAGAAAAGGAATATTTATCTGTTTATATGTACAACTATAACATAAGCCTATAACATGTGACGCCTAACAGCATATCTAAATACTTTTATTTAGATAATAACTAATCTTAAATTTATATAAACTTTTAGTTTTTAAAAAAGAAATTATACTAACTTAATTAAAGCTAAAAATTAGCTAGCTATTATTTACTTTTAAGTATTACTTTACTTATAAGTATACTTTATAATAAGTAATTTAGTTATGTATAAAGTTTTTAGCTTAGCGCCTATATACTTTTTTAAAAAGTAAAATAACCTATATTAAATAGCTATAAAAAGTGTAATAAGTAAAAAAGTATATAAATAGTAATAATTTTACTATCTTTATAGTACTATAAAAAATAAAGTAAGTTATTAGTAAAGCTTACTATACTTAATATATTTAAGTTTATAAACTATAAAGTTAAGTAAAAAAATTTTTAAAACACACTAACTAGTTAGTTATAATTTTTTTTTATTAGTTTATATATTTTATATATATATATTTTTTTGCAAAAAAGTATACTTAATATAAGTACACTTTAATATTAATTTATATGTAGTTTACTTTAGTATATGTTATATAAAACATATTTAAATTATAGTTAGCTATATTTATTCTATATTTTTTTAGCTATATTAGTGTGTTAGAGATTAGTATTAGCTATGCTTAGTTATAGGCTATAATTATTTATATGCTATAGTTAAATATTATTATTATATGTCTATTACCTGTCTAATACTAATTTGCTAAGCATTATGCTACAACTATGTAACAGCGCAGGCAAGATAATAGGTCTAAATGCAGTAAGAATTTACTTAAAGAAATATAAAAGTGTGTAGAGACTTAGAACCTAGGAATGCTATTAACACCTATAGGCCTTATATAGAGGATATTAGAAAACTACTAAGCTAGCTAAAAAAAGAGGTGTAACTAAATACTTAAAAAAATAAAAGTAACTATAAAGAATAAAGTTAAGTTATAGTTAAAGCTAATATAAAAACTTATTAAATACGTTTTAAGCAACCTAAGATATAATAATTTATAAAAATTATTATAAACTATTTTTAAACTAAAATAACCTACTATAAAGATAGAATAGTAGATAGTATAGATAGCACTAAAAGTAAGCTTTTAAAAAAAGATAAGAGTGTATTATAAGAAAAATAAATTGCTACTAAGCCTTACTTATTAGAATTTATGCTTATATACAAAGCACAGGTTATGTAACCTCTAAACAGACTAGGGGAGGCCATTCTATCCCGCTCTAGGACATCCTGCCTTACACCTACCTTAATGTGCTAACTATTGCTCTAAGCAAGCTTTGCTTTTACAGATCATTTATAAACTATTGTAGTATTTTAATTATTAACCTAGCACTAACACTTAGTATATAAAAAATTAAAGCCTTAAATAACTTAAGCAGCTACACTACTTTTTTTACTCTTAATAAAAAGTTACATCTTTTTATTCTAGACACTATCTTAGATAATATTAAGTATAAACTTAAATTAGAGAATTATATTCTAAATATACTTATATGTACTGTCTTTTACACCTAATCTAGAACACAACGCAGCAAATAATAAAGTGTATAATAATTAATGTAGGATTACTATAGATATAATTAGGATACAATGTCTAGGCTTTTACTTTTTAGTAGAGCGCTACCTAAAAGTAAGTAAGCTAAATAATAAGAGAAATAGGACTTACATAAGTACTTAAGCTGCTATAGGGGTTTAAGAATTCTATTTAGATAGAAATAGCGCTTAATTTAGAGAGTTTTTAGAGAGTTTTAAGGCTGCGACCTGACGTAGTGGTGGGTGCTGTTTAGAGGAAGTTTTCCTGTGTCGCGCGAGCTTTTGGATACATTGGCCGAAATTTAGCCGACAAGCGAGATTTTAGCGTGTATGACCGAGCTGCAACCTCGAGGAAGTTTTCCCGTGTCGCGCGAGCTTTTGGATACATTGGCCGAAATTTAGCCGACAAGCGAGATTTTAGCGTGTATGACCGAGCTGCAACCTCGGGGCAACCCTGCTAGTCAACGCGAACCCTGCCTAGTTGCCTTGATGGCGCAAGCCCCATCTCTCTAGCTAATAATGTAACGGCGCAGGCGAGACAACGGGTCCGAACGCGATGTGAATCTACTCAGAGGCATATGGGAGTGCGTGGGGACTCAGAAACCCGGGAATTCTATTGACACCTACAGGCCTTGTACAAAAGGATATTAGAAAACTACTAGCTAAGAAGAGAGGTGCAGCTAAATACTTGGAGATAGGAGTAGCGCAGGGGGCAGAGCAGGGTTAGAGCTGATACGCGGAGCCTTTAGATATAAGTTTGCTATGTAACTTTTGTAATGATTCTCATGAATCGTTCCATCTCGGGTCGCTCGGAACCTATCCGAAGGGTCCCCGTATTAGCCCCGACCATGACCCGACCCTCTCCCCTGCAGTTACCCCTATTCCCCTAAGTATTTAGTTGCACCTCTCCTCTTAGCTAGCTTAGTAGTTTTCTAATATCCTTTTGTACAAGGCCTAT